GCCATATTATAACATCGACTGAGATAAAGAATAAAATGAAATATTAAAAACACGATGTATCTCGCTGCATTGCGCGAGTACGCTTCTAGTATATATAGATAAATGAAAGGTTTATTTATTTAATGRTATGTTTTTATTTAAAATAATTCAAAAATTAGAAAAAATAACAATCAATGATTCTAACTTTCTCAAGATGCCACATCATCTTTTGATGATTCTCCTTTTTATATATATATATAGAGAGAGATTTTATAACACACATTTACATTGATGATTATAATAAAACGATAATTAATTAAAAAAAACCACTTCAAATCATTTGATCGATTTTAACGGACAAAAAACTTAAATATTATATAAATGACATATATTTAATAACATTGAAATCTGTTATTATTATTTTAATAAATAATTAATAGAAAAGTAAAAACAATATAGCAAACTACAAATTTGGTCCTTGTGGTTTGTAAAAAATAACACTTTTCCTCCTTACAGTTTTTAAAATTACAAAATAGCTATCATGGTTTACGAAAACGTTCAGATTTGATTCTTCCCTCTAACGGATGTTAAAATGCTTCATTAACCGAAGAACATTTTCGTTATTTTATCGATTTTTTGCCTTTTACTCAATCAAAATCGATTTCATAATTTTGATCCCTTTGGTCTTTGATTGGGTAAAAGATAAAAATCCAGATGTTTTTGATTTGGTCCCTTTGGAAACCTACCTTGTTTCCATCTAGTTCGACATGAACTATCCCATATCAGTTACTTGACTCATCATACGAATTTTCAAATGCCCTTTGTGATCCAACGTAGTGTAGAGAATCATGTGGTTTGATTATAGAATTGGTTTTGGAAGAAACTCGAGCTTCACCGTTTGTACCACATATGGACCGAATCGACCTTGTTGAATGAACCCTTTCCAAGGCGCCAACAAGAGAAGAAATCCTCAACAGTGGCGGCAATGTTGGAGTGGTGAGATTGTCGTAAGAGCGACTTTTACCCTTTAGATAGAGTTGGAAGAAGTAGAAGAGAGCATATGGGATGATTGAATGTACAACCAATGAGTTGTTTGGTTGGTTTTCCATTAAGTTATGTATGAATAAAGCTGTCTATGTGTATTAATTTCTTTGTATATATTTTGAAATTTTTTGGTTGGAAGGTTTTTTCATAAATAGAATTTTGTTTCATCGTCTGAGCATGAGATCAAAACCAGATTTTTTACAAACCATGATAACCATCTTATAATTTCAAAACTGTACAAACAGACAAACCAGAAGGACCAAATTTAGAGTTTACTCAAGAAAATATTATTATGAATAAATCTAAGTATTGACTTGCGAGTGGTGGTAAGGATGTCTCAGTACACGAGACCCATCTCTCTCCAAAAGAAACAGACTTCCAAAAGCTGCCCCCAAACTGTCAGAATATATATAAATGCTAAACAAGAAAATGTATAGACCTTTTCTTTCATTTTTCCATTTTCCATTTCTGTTTTTCAAGAATTAAAACCCCCCCTTCTTCCATCTCTATCCATTCCATCTATCCGCCTCTTCACAGATCCTGCAACCTCAGATCCGCGACTTTTCGAACCCTAAATCACTCTTTCTTCAACTCATAATGCAACCTTCATTTCAGGTACCATTTCATTCAACTCACTATCTTGATTCGTGGGTAAGCAAACAAAGAATTTCAACTTATTTACCAGTTTTTATGTTAATTTATCAAACAATTTCAGCTAATTACGCTTCAATTCGGGTCAGGCTGTTTAATTTCGCTGTTGGAATGTGTTCATAGTAGACATTTGGGAGATTAGTTTGTGAATTTTATGATTTCGTTTATGTTTTTATGTATTTGTTTATTTATTTCTTTTATGTACAGTGATTATTTTATTTAAGTAGATGGGGTGTTGTTCTTTTGTAGTAATTTAAAATGGTTTTTTCTGTCGATTGTCAAATGGGCATTGACGAATTCAGTCTATGGAAGTACATGAATTTATTTGTATTTTTAATTTGTGGGTTTTTATGGGTTTTTGTTTTCTTGATTTATGATGGCTTATACTTTCTCTTTTTTAAATTTAGGGAGATGATGCTGGTAGGGTTGTGTTGTATTCTTGAAGAAAATAGTTGGGTTTTTTTTCATTTCGTTTTTCTGACATTGGGGAAAAAAGCTAATTGTGGGAAGTGAGTTTCTGCTTCGGTGGATTATGGGTTGTGTTTGTGGCAAGCCATCCGCCATTGAAGATAGCAGAGAGAGTCCAAGGGATAGATATGGCAATAAAATTTCATCGGAATTACGGGTCCCTAGGGTTACATCATCAAGAAGAGAGGTTTACCGGGTGAAAACCCAATCAGATAATAGTGATGGTGGATCAATGCTGATAGATAAACAAGTTAATGGCTCGATTAGATTGCCAGCCGAGAATTTTGAGAGAAAAAGAGATAAACCAGAAACCATTGTTTCTACACACCATCCATCCATGGGAAGTGTTCCTAGAGCAACTGAAGGAGAGCAGGTGGCCGCTGGTTGGCCGCCATGGCTAGCGGCAGTTGCTGGTGAAGCTATTAAAGGATGGGTGCCCAGGAGAGCAGATTCTTTTGAGAAATTGGACAAGGTTTGCTTCTATTTTTTGTGATTGCAACTTTTATCTTCCAATGTATGATTAGGATGCTTTATTATTTCAATGAAGAGTTCAAACTGGCAGGTTAAAGCAAGTCTTTGTACCAATACACCATACAGGGGATGTTTATGCTTTGTATTCATAAAGAAAATGCTTGATATTCATGATTATTTAGGGTTATTCAGTATGAATAATACATGAAATAGTTGGTTTCATGGTTCTCAAAATATTTATGGTTGCCATTTGAACTTTTCTCTACAAGGGAAATGAGTTGTGTAGATTACATTATACGTCCCAACTTTCTAAATGAATTGAATTGAATCTTGAAAAGTGCTTACTTTCTTTCATTAGTTGTTGATGGTTTTCTCGCCACTTTTTTCAGATTGGACAAGGTACATATAGTAATGTTTATCGGGCTCGTGATCTTGATCAGGGAAAGATTGTTGCTTTAAAGAAAGTAAGATTCGACAATCTGGAACCCGAGAGTGTACGGTTTATGGCCAGGGAAATTCACATTCTACGCAGGCTTGATCATCCAAATGTTATAAAATTGGAAGGTCTTGTGACATCTCGGATGTCATGCAGTTTGTATCTTGTTTTTGAGTACATGGAACATGATCTTGCAGGGCTTGCTTCTCACCCTGCTCTTAAGTTCACAGAATCACAGGTATGCAAATATTCAGAAATCTTTTATAGTTACAAATGCAAATATTCAGAAACATTAAATTTGTTATCTTTCTTGTTTACTATTAAAAACCACTGACATTTGGCCATTAGATACCTCCCTTTGTTTTTCTACATTTCTTTGATTTTGGACATCTTTTGTGATGTCTTGGAAGACCATTCGCCTAAAAATGATAAGAGTCCACTGTTCATCAGTTTCTTTTGTGGGCCCTAGTCATTTGGTGAGGATAAATACGATGTGATTAGGGTTCGTTTAGAAGAAATGGAGACAAGATCCACAAACTGTACTGTAAAGATTGAGAGAAATGGCACCATCATGTAGAACCTAAGGTGCTGTTTGATTCACATAATTCAAAGGATTTCAAAGGAATTGGAATGATCAATTCCTTTGACCAAATTCCAATTCCTTTGTTTGGTTCACATATTGAAATGGATGGAATCCTTTGAATTCCACAAATTAATGAATCCATCATTCCTTGGCATAAGTGAAGGAATTGAATTCCAGCCTTTTGCATCCAATTTAACCAACACCGCCCACCCCCACCCCACCACGACCATGCTACTATTGTCACTGTCACGCTCCCACCCCTAACCCCCCGCAACTACTGTTGCCGTCACAACCGCCACCCACCCCACCCTACCACAACGCACCACTGACCACCATGCCACTATTGTTGGAGTGGGTGCGGTAGCTGTGACGATGATAGTAGTGACATGGTGGTCGGTGGGGTGGGGGCAGACAAGAGTGGGTGGGGTGAACACCCCCCTTCACTACC